AATAAACCTCATATTGTTCAACAAAATCTGGTCTGTGTTTGGTTTTTGTAACTTGAATCGTGTAAGCTATCGACAGATCTCTTCTCAGGTATAATAATAATAAAAAAGTTACTAAATCGGAGAACTTAAGAGGAGTATGTGAGTGATAAAGGGTCGAGAACTCCGTCTGAAGTCGACACATAAAGGTAAATAGGTAGAGTGACCGTAGCTGGCGTGTGAGCTAGAGATTATATAAGAACTGTTAACTATGCGAGTCATGGATTCGATCCCGTGCTTGACACAAACACATGGTTCAATTTTATTTATGGGGGGAAACCGGATGACCCGGAGAAACCCCCCGAGGTTGGGCAGGCGACCCTACTCCTTGTCACGTACAACCGGGGAATCGAAACCACGCCAATTGACTCATTGACAGTCCTTATGATATAGCCATCACCCCCAACCCCCCCCCCCGGACATTAAAAGGAGTTTGGTCGCCTGTCTACATCGTTCGTTTTGTGCTCAAGCGAATCATTGAAATAACAATAAACTTTTTGTTAGTCCTGAAATGACATGGTTAGGGGCAAGAGGATGTTAAACCTCATTCACCTGTCTCATATACAGGTAAAACACCGACATTAGAACAATCCGATCAACATATTAAACATACATTATGCAAGAGCTAAATCTGCCTATTGCAGGTCTTTCTTTAGGCCTGAAATGTTTTCTAAATTATTAATTAGAAATTAATTAACTTATCCAGACCATAATCAACTCGGATTTCTCCTATATTAAATAGATTAGAACAGTTCAGCCATATTTTGATTTAAGCTAAAAATGGAGGAGCGAGACTTAGCTTCGAACAACCAGTACGGTGGTTGAAATTATTGCGCACGTCTTGTCACAGCTTCAAAGGCTAATATCTTCGCTCGCAATAGAGTAATTTGATGAAATTTTCAAATTATTAATTTTACATTATCTATTTTCGAACTATTATAGCAAGAATGGCTAGCTCTTTATCTAAATCTTACATAATATATGTTTAATTATTCTTTCTTCGTTTTATATAATTATACCAAGCCTTCATTTCATATACTGTAGCCAAGAACACAAAAACAAACCTTATATTTATTAAAAGGAAACGAAACATGATATTGGGTAAAAGGTTGGCCATCATTGATATCAATTTATAGAAAGTATAAAATATAACCAATATCACTGACTTACAAAGGAAGCGGGATGGGTGGGGTGGGTGAGTAATGTTTCGTTAATTTTCCGACGTGGTTTCCCCTTGTCAGTGGTGCAGGAAGGAGGGCCTGACAAGGACAGCTATCTAGTCATTCGGGTGGGACGAAAAACCGAAGACCCGTGTATACATTGGCGTGCTCGTAAAATATCCCTTGGCAGTTGGAATTCGATATAAGAGTAGGCCATAGTGTCGCTGCCCGGGCAAAATTTCCCTCATAGCACACTGTATGGCGTATGCCCGTCTTCATTAGCCCAGTCTGAGCAGAACAGTAGGGCGTTAAACCCCATTTCATTTCATATGATTTTCTATTTAAAAAAAGGCCTTATAGAACATGGCTACTTCTTCGAAAGGGAAAACTGTTGTTTTCGTATAAGACACAAGACGTGGGATATGTTCATTCTGAAACAGTCCTTGCCATTTTCGCCTGTCATATCATTCAGCTTATTGTTCCTTTAAATCTAGTGTAATTTAATATAAGAATTCTCAATCCCTAGTGAGATAGACGTGATTCATATACTTTGTCATTTTAACGATTATCTTAAAGCACCAATGCAACACAGTACGAGTGAGAAAATATTTCGTGAAACCTAATCGGTTTTAACGTCATACTTTTCTGCGCCAACCGGGCTAATGAAGGCGGGCATACGCAATGCAATGTATGATAAGAGATATTTTGCCCGGACAGCGACGCTACGGCCTATATACTCTTATTTTGATTTCAAACTATCGTTGATCTTTAACGTGCTACCATTAGTTTAGACTAGACCTCGTTGGAAATTGAAATCAATGAGAATACGCCGGGTTAAAACTTCAATCATAGTGCACCGTATAGCACATACCTGTCTTCATTAGCCTGGTAGGTAGGGCGTTAAACCCCATTTCAATTCAATTCATTTTAAATTCCAATCTCAATTTCAATTCATTAATAACCTACTGTACTATATGCATGTATTCAATTAGATATTTATCTTATTTAAAGTGGGGGTCACAGTAGCTAAGTGGGTAAGACGCTAGTCTGGAGGTCGGGTGTTCAATCCCTGCATTGGCCGAGAAAGTTCACCCAGATTTTCCGGCGTGGTTCCCCTCCCCCCCCCCCCCTTGTCAGAGATGCAGGATGGAGGGCCTGACAAGGACAGCTGTCTAGTCATTCGGATGATACGAAAAACCGAGGTCCCGTGTACACATTGGCGTATACGTAAAAGATCCCTTGACAGTTGGAATTCGATATCAGAGTAGGCCGTAGTGCCGCTGTCCGGGCAAAATTTCCCTCATAGCACACTGTTTGGCGTATGCCCGTCTTCATTAGCCCAGTTCGGAGCAAAACAGTAGGACGTTAAACCCCATTTCATTTCTTATTTAACGTTTGACATTTTGATGGCAATCGTCCTGTCTGGTGGTCATCCTTTCCCATCCCCATAAAATGACATCAACCTGAACCCAGCAATTATCAATTTAGCGTCATTGTTATCAACACTTTAAAACATATAGTTGAAAACAATGCTTTGAAAAGAGCAACAAATTGTGTCTGGAGGGGCCATGACGAGAAAGACACTTTTGTTCTTAAATGGGGGATGTTAAGTTACGGGGACCTTTACAAGTAGTAGGTAGTAAAATATAAGTACATAAACAATACAACGGGGTTTAACTCTTTCACATTTAATTAGACAACTCCTTTCATTTTCTACGTAAGTTTGGGTAAACACCTTGTCGTTTGTAATAAGCTCACAGTTGAGTGCTTGGGATAATAGTATAGGTAGCGTTTCGGTTGAGTGGTTCCAGGAGACTTTAACAGTCGGTGTTGCTTGCACGGTGTGTCACCCATAAGAAACCGCTATCCATGTCATGTTCGACGCATAGCTCTTTAACTGAACACACATATCTGTGAACTAAAGGTCCGCTGGAGATACCAGAGAGGTTTTTGTTTGTGGAATTAACGGTGACAGGTAAGGTGGTCTTTTAAATCGATGTGATTTGTGATTAGAAAAATATAAAATTTTCTCAAGAACCAACAGGATTTCTTAATTTTTTGTAATTTGAAGGATATGATAGTACAAAATATAAATCAAAAGACTGTCAAATGGATACCCTTTCTCGTAAACATAAATCATTTTATAAGTTGTTTGTTTCGGAGAGATATGGGTCGGAGTGTAATATTAATGAATGCTATAAATCAACACATAATGAATTACTTGTGGCTGTAGATCTGCTCCCGTCAAAAGGCAAAACCTAGTAACTCAATTTTTTATCAAAATTGAGTTAGGACCAAATTTGTAGTTACTAGGGTATGTGCTTCCTGTTGTTGTACTAGAGCTTCCAATCTTTTGATTTTGTAAGCAGTTACACCCATGACAAAACCTAGCACCTTCCTTCAAATTGCCTAGAATACCACAGCAAAACCTAGTAACTCAATAGTGAAATCAAAGGATGAGCTGGGGTTTAATATTCATTCATTACGTTTTCCTTTGTTTTCTCAAAATAAGAAAAAAGTGAGTTACTAGGTTTTGCCTTTTGACGGGAGAGTCTGTACTCACTTATTTATTTCAATATAGACCTATGTTGATATGACGTACGCTAGTCTCAAACCCTAATCCAGATAACTATGAGGAAGTATTAGTCTCATAAACTGCATTATGGCTATATAATATATTGAGAAGTCTCAAACCCTAATCCAGATAACTATGAGAATAAATTAGTCTCACAGCATTACGGCTATGTAATGTACTGAGAAGTGTGGAATCATCACACGTAAAAAATAAAACTAGACCCCCTGTTCATATTTTTTGACGGTCGATCGATTATCTTATAACACACGAGATTATTATTTTACAAACCGGTCGAGCCTGCTTTCTTAAGTCGACAAATTCTGCATATATTGGTCGCGATAAGCTGTTTAAACTGATATAGTATATATCGTGTTTTAATATTTAAGATATGACAAAGAACATATTACAGGAGGATCAAAATCAGCAGTTTTAAAACGATGTTATTTAAGAAAAAACAACATTTATGTTATCAATCCGTTTAATACACAAATTAGACAAATTTGGAGTGTTTGTTTCGTGGTAAAATCTCAAATCCAGATCTAGGTTGATCTGTGATGTATGGTAAATAATAGTTGATCAGTTTTTTTTGGTAGTCTTTTTGTCTTTTTTCCAAGCCCGTTAAAGTTTATGGGATACCTTTAATCGAAACGAAACTAAAATGAAGCGAAGTAATAATAATACACTTTAGAACTATATACAGTCTAACCTGAATCACGTGAACATGATCTGTCGAAAACAACAATTAATATCGGAGGTGGATCTTCCACTATCACGTCACATATCAATATGAAACGAGAGAAAATAAGTTCTAATTTGCTGAATTCCCTTTAAAATAAACTTTGTTCACAAGTTTTTAACTGTTTTAAAAATAGCTGCTAGATTATATAACTCAATAAACATCATTATACATCACGTGTGATTGTTCATCACGTGTGATTGTTCATCGCGTGTAACGGGTCGATCTTTGTCCTAGAAAAGATCTTATACGGACAAACCGATGAGTTACGATTGCATTTTTGATGGTTGCTAATCTGGACGTGATTTGCAACCCTGCTTCATATCAGGATCGGGGAGATCAGGACTTCGATCAGGGTTTGACATAACAAAAACACGGGTTTACAAAGTTCAACACATATCACTCCGAATCAAACACTTACGCAACATTTTATAATTACTTACATATTAAAACAGCAGATATAGCCCTGAATATAAAAATAACATCCACTTACTTTTATTTTAAAACAAAGCGACTAAATATGTCGGCTTAAAATACAGTCTTTCACCTCAGTTCAACCTACTGTGTCAACATAGTTGTGGAACATATATATTCCTTGAGACATGTTGTTTTCCACCTTGTCTGCGATATGACTTATTGTGAAAGCAGGCGTTAATCACCATGTAACAAGCAAGTTAGCATGTACGTTCACCACGTACATGTATCGGCCATTTTCCTTCAAATTATTATTCAAATGTTACATAGAAAAGGTTTGGTTGTTTGTCAAAACACTATGCCAAGAAAGCTGTTTTTAATTGCTGCACATGTACCTCTAAAGGAAGTACTAGGAACGGGATGTTTTGGAAATGTCATGGTTTGTATCAGCGTTTGGTTCAATATAATTTATATAGAAACGACCGTTAACATTACCTGTTTACATTTAACATCAACGTTTACAATAAGCGCATTCAAAACTTTCATGGTGTGGTTTCGATTCCCCGGTTGTACGTGACAAGGAGTAGAGTTGCGTGTCCAACCTCGTCGGTTTTCTCCGGTTTCCTCCCACTGCTAAAGACCCCTACGCGCAAACGAATTATGGAAATAAAATTGAACCATATGATAATCCCGAAATGACCTAGTTTGTGTCGAGTGGACGTTAAACCCTCTCTCTCTCTCTCTCTCTCTCTCTCTCTCAAAACTTTCAATTAAGACACGAATGTTTGGAATTATGTTTCGAATGTTCTTTGAATATAGTTTATCATAATGTTGATTTTAAAAGAATGGATATTCTTCCAGTTTCTTTTTGATCAAACAAATTTCAAAATAATAAAAACATGACTGCCACTTACAAAGATGAAACTGGTCACCATAGCGTGTCATAGTCAATCGATATTTTTAAATTACAAATAGCTTTTTGAACAAAGATTCTAATTGTAGTTACACAATAATTTCTACTATAAAACTACTGAACAATCGGAAACATTATAAATATTAATATTACATTGTCACGTATGCACTAAATTTAGTTGTTTCGTTTCGGTTATTGATGGGAAAATTGTTTGGTCCTGAAATATCAAGCGGGTCGGCTTGTTTACAAATATTAGTTAAATTTTTGCTTTAAAATGTCGAGAATTGAACACAAAAATCAGTCATTTTCTTAAAATCGGTAGTTGATCGACCATATTATTTTATACCTTAATGAAGGAGGAATTCTCATTTAAGATATTATAAACATCTAATTAAATTTGACTAAAGCATAAACAGATGGCATTTTTACATTCCAGTGGAAAGGTAAGATTATCGTTAAATCAACACAATACATTGTTTATTGGGACTAACAGGGATTTATTTCATGCCACGATAGGCATTAAAGTGTTTGCTGTTCACAGTCGATTTCAAATGACAGAAAAACAAATTCTTTAACTTAGTTTCTGACCGATTTACGGGAATACAACAGCATTAGCTTAGCTTTGTGAATCTCACTATTAGAAATGGTATTACACGTAGGACCCATAAACATACTCTGCCTCATACACGATACCCACCACTATAGCTCATCAGCGTGGGCTTCAGAAGCTTTTGACCTAGTTCAGTTAAATAATGATTTTTTTCTATTTATTTTGGTGTTATGATGGTGACAGGTAATGCATGATGCTCTCAATAAAAAGCTAAGCGAACAAATAAAATCGTGTATTTATACCAAACTATTGAAAACATGCACCATGTTTGCGTTACAAAATTCGCATTATGATCTGAATAGGATTAAAAGCCCATCACATAAACTTCTATATCATTTTGATAAAATTATTTTACTATCCTACAATAGCCATACCCTTAGGGTAATTAATGAACAAAGAACTTTACGCAGTTCGTCTTTGAATTAATATAATAATTCGCTTGAAAATAAAGAAGTAAAACTAAACTTGTATGTTGAGTTCAACTCACCTATTATCAGGTTTTCTAATCGTTCTTTGCACTGAAGTAAAATTGAATCAAAACTGTCTTGCAATATTGTTTGTAGATCCGTGTAATATGAAACGTGTAAGAACGTCGCCTTTTATAAAGCCGATGTTATCGTGCATTATTTGCACACCAGATCAGTCTTTTATTGGATATACCTTAATATTTACACACACAAAAAAAATCTTTTGTCGATGTTTGATAGATAGCAGAGAGATATGGGGAGGGGGGGGGCTTGGGTTTACCGTCCTCACAACACAACTAGGTCGTTTCTAGACTAACATAATATAAATTGTTTCAATAACATTTGGTAATTGAACTGAACTGTAAATACAAATGACTCAATTCTATGGAATATAATTGCTACCGAAACGTGGCTCAGTAATAAATAGTAATTGTATTCTATGTAAGCATTCCCTGTTTATTAATATATATAATACAGTGTCCTTTTCACGCATATAGGTAAACATAAATTAAAGAAAAATAAAACATATAAAACGCCGTGTAAAACCAGACTCATGATGATAAATACATAAAGTGTGGTGGTAATTTATACTATTAAAGATACAAATGTGCAATAGCTATCTGTTAGATGTGTAATCAGATGTTCTATAAATAGTTAGCTTGTAATGCCTTGATTTTGTCTGTTAATAGTTCGTGCGCGCTGTATCATAAGGTCTGCCATTGAGTCAACCGGGGTTGTTTCGATTCCCCGCTTGTATGTGACAAGGAGTAGGGTCGCCTGTCCAACCTTGTGGGTTTACTCCAGGTCCTCCGGTTTCCTCCCACTGCTAAAGACCCCTACGCGCAAGCAAATTGTTGAAATAAAATTGAACCATGTGTTAGTCCCGAAATGACCTGGTTTGTGTCGAGTGGTCGTTACCCCCCCCCCTCTCTCTCTCTCTCTGTTAATAGTTCACCCTTTACAGTAATTTTACTTGTAGCTTATGTCAAAAATGGTTTTAACTTCATCATTCCTGTCGTCCATAAGTTGAAAACCGTGTGTACTTTGTATTGTTTTGAGTAAATAAAGACTATGTTTCTTGTATTTCAGTAGATTAAGACGGAGCACCTGTGGGATTAGATTAACTTTCAACAAGGACTACAATCATTTACAAAGTTTTCAAGACACAAGTACGACTTAAACTGGTGATTAACGGAGTATTTGTGTTAAACATATGTACACGACCTACGATCCATTCTCACTTTTCGAATAGTTCGAACAAAACAGTTGAACCACAACCATGGATATTATTAAAGCTTGGAAGTGTGTTTTAGTTATTCTTTCGTTTATTTCAAACATTTCTGGAACATCGGTATCAACAACGGAAACAACCACAACGGAATTATCCACAACGGAAAACCCAGATATTTCTGTTGGGAAACCGATCATTGAATATCTGAAGACAGAACCACTGGTTCGATTTGTAAGTACCATTTTATGCCATTTTATTGACAGGACACCAAGCAAATAAACAACTCATACTCTGCTAAGTGTGTTGGTTTGGAAGCTCAAATTTTCACAGCTTGTTATTTAAGGGTTGAGACGACTTGACACATTATATACTCTTCAAAAAAAGTACGGGATATTGAAATGCAAATACCTATGCAGGTTGTGATATGATAAATAGTCATGGACACTTGACATGCTTTGAGAGTATGTTCATCGATGAAGAACTTATCGCCCCAACAGAACCACTGAGCTGCACATGCGACACGCAATAGCGCCATACACGTGGGAGGGGTTCATTGTCAAATTTGACACTTCAAGGAAGGGTTGATGAAAACTGCGCGTGCTGGTTTATCTATCCATGTTAGCATTCCTATCGGTTCTGGCATAAGATTTACTGTTTAGCATATCTTTGCTTTAGTGTGTTACGTTTATTTCCATCGGGAGACGTGTTCGTCGAAGTCAACGTCAACCGACAACACTGCAAGAATTGGCCGTGGCACTGCAAGAGGAGTGGGTCAGATTGCCCCAAATCGTGATCGGAGGTTGATTAGGAGCATGCCACGACGAATTGCTGATGTCTGAGGATTGGTGGAGCAATTACTCATTATTAAGACAAAAATCAAAAACGTCCATTTTCACTTTTGACGGTGTATCTCTTTGCGAGTGAAATGGGACCATCAGATAAGCCGCCCATATGAACTGTTTATGTTCATGTGTAGGCAATTGGCCTGTTATTAACATACACTGGTTACCTCTAATAAAAACAGCAGTGTATTTCCGCAGTTTTGTATTGTTTCTGAATATTCCCTACTTTTTTTGAAGAGTATATAACATTATCATCTTTTCATCTTTTGATAATAGTTTCTTTTATACATTTTAAAATTTGTTGATGACAACAATATTAACTTTTATCTACATTGTAAGTTCTATCATTGAGTCAAGTACATGTAGTTTGATAGCCCCGCTAACACCGTAGCTTTTCGCCCAGTCCTCCGGTTTTCTCGCAAATCTGCGTTGCAATCAGAGGGGATAACGGGCATTGGTGATTTCTTCGTTTCTAAAATCTAGAAGCGCAACACCTAAAATAGTGTTGTTTTTTTTTTTTAAAAAGTTGAACATCTCTAGTAGATATAATCGGTGATCTTACACTATATATCTTCATGTGCATAATAAAGATGGGAGTACCATCATCCTCGAAACGATGTTATTCAATATACTGTAGAAGTTTTAGTGTTTTATTCTTCAATTAGGGGGATTGGATGGCCGAATCGTTAGCGTATACGCGTTGTATCATAAGGTTTGTCATTGAGTCAACTGGCGGGGATTCGATTCCCCAGTTGTACGTGACAAGGAGTAGGGTCGCCCGTCCATCCTCGTTGGTTTTGTCCGGGTCCTCCGGGTTCCTCCCACTGCTAAAGACTCCTACGAGCAAGCGAAATATTGAAATATAATTGAACCATGTGTTAATCCCGAAATGACCTAGTTTGTGTCCAGTGGACGTTAATCCCCATTTCTCTCTCACTTTTTATTTTTTAATTAATAAATTCTTTTCAAAGATATTATCTGTGGTTTCCGAGGGGTGCATGCAAAAATTGACACTTGAACTTACTGTGAGAACGCAAGAACCAAGTTTTTGTTTTTATGTATTTCTTCTCGTGTCAATTTTGTAGAAACACAACTATTATATCTAGACTTACTAACCTATAAAATC